TTCAGAAGGGCCAACTTTAGTAAACTTAGAAGGCTAGTTAGTAAGGTGGCCGAACTCAAGAGCATCGAGCAAATGGGGGTCCAGGAGGGCTGGAGGTTTCTCAAGGGAGTGATCCTTATCCTTGGGGCACAAAAGGAGTCTATCCCCTTATGCAGGAAAGAGGCTAAGGGGGCAAAAAAGCCCCCTTGCCTGAACAGGGAACTCCAGAAAAGATTGGGTGCAAAGAAAGAGATTTATAGGCCGTGGAAGCAGGGGGGAGCCACCAGGGAGGAATACACCTCCCTGGCGCGCTATTGCAGGGAGTCAGTTAGGCAGGCCAAGGCAGGACTGGAGCTTAGGCTGGCTTCAACAATTAAGGACAAGAAAAAGTCCTTCTACAGATAGATAGTGATCAAAAGGAAGGCGCAGAGTAACATTGGGCCCCTGCAGGACAAATCAGGTCAGTTGGTGGTTGACACAGAGAAAAAGGCGGAGCTCTTCAATGAGTTCTTTGCTTCAATATTGCTTAATACTGACCAAGACACTTCCCCCACCTTGAGCATAGACAGATGTCCAAAAGGCATCAGACCGCATAAGGTTAGTGCTGACTTAGTTAAGGAGCACTTGGAGGGGCTGATGAGTACAAGTCAGCCGGCACGGATGACCTCCATCCACAGGTGCTGAAGGAATTGGCCAGTGTCATAGCTGAGCCGCTGGCATGGCTGTTTGAGCGCTCATGGTGCTCTGGCCAGATCCCTGAGGAATGGAAAAGGGCCAACATGGTGCCCATTTTTAAGAAGGGGAGAAGGGATGAGATGGGTAACTTTAGGCCAGTCAGTCTTACCTCTATTCCTGGGAAAATACTGGAAAAAAATCATGAAAGAGCGCATTTGTGAAGGCCTAGCAGGGGAAATGATGCTGAAAGGAATCCAGCATGGGTTCATCACAGGTAGATCCTGCCTGACAAATTTTTTAGGTTCCCCCTCTCCATGGAGAAGGCTAGCCTGGAAAATCACTCACCTAGAAATCACTCTCTCCATAGGCAATCAGTGGGTAGCCAAACAGCAAAAAGAATATTACATGGGATAAAAGTTTACACAAGCAAAACAGACTATAGATTTAGGGCCTTGTTACATGGTAACATTAGGCAGCTTCTAGAGCTTTTAACCCCTGGACTGGCTGCACATTAATACCTTTATGTGGTTTAAAGCACTCATTATTTGGCAGAAAGTTGCCACTTTAGGGCAGGTTTATCTCTAATGCGCATAACCATGCTCCTGCTCCATTAAGGTGTGGCCATTTCCCACAGCTATTCCACCCAAGTTGAAGTCCTCCAGTATCCCAGGATGCACCAGGGCTGTGCTGCTTAATCTGCCCAGCAGGAGCAGTCCGGACAGCAGCAGGAGGCACCATGGCCACTGGGTACTTCAGGGCTGCGGTGCTTATTCTGCCTGACATGCCCAGGGTGCTGCCCCTCAGACCAGCTCACTGCCTTTGCTGGGCAGATAGAGTGCTATAGCCCTGGAGCACCCAGCAGCCATGGTACCTCCCACCACTGCCTGGACCAACCTGCTGCTCCAGGTGGGAGGAGGGAGCACTGCAGCCCTGGAGCACCCGGTGGCTGTGGTGCCTCCCGCCATAGCCCTGGAGTGCCCAGTGGCCGCTGAGCCTCCTGTCTGGTCACCCCCACAAGGCCAGCAACAACACTTCCCAGCCACAGGCACCCCAGCCCTTTTACCCACCAGATTGAAAGGGGCTCAAAGAGTTTTTAACCACAGAAAAACACAAGGAATATTATGGGGTACTGCCTACGCCTGGGGCCACGCACAGCTCCTAATCCTGCCCTTGCTCACCAAGCCTCGAGTGGCAAGTCACAACTGTGCCAGTGAAGGACAGTCAGAAATGGTGTTTTTGCTTTAAGGTGTGACTGATCCACTAAGCCAATCAATGCTAAGCCAATTAACACTTGTGCAGCTTACAGCAACAGATGTAACAAGGCCATTAGAAACTGTCTCAATCACCAGAACTCTTTGGAAGTTCAGGACTGCCTGAGATACCTGGCAGTCCTTTGGCTGGATGGGCCATTCCTCTCAGATACCTCTGCTATAGTGTTGATTTCCCCATTACAGGCAGACAATGCCTTGGGGCCCAACCCCTTCTGCTTATGTCTGGGGGTGGCAATTCTTCTTTCCATAAAGAAATCTAGCCACCCCACCCACTCCCTTTCCTTGAGTGAACAATATCCAAAACCATAAAAATATATACAGAGAGCATAACATAATCTATACAATGATAACAGTACCATCAGTGGATGCAGGATAACATTGATTTCCAATAAGACCACACATGCCATATCATTACTGTAAATAACAAGAAAATATTCATGACAAACCCCCAAAACATAACGTGGGTCGTGACATAAGCAATACGTTGGTTACCTTGGTAAATGGATGTTTTATTCCAGAGTGTTGATTAGACAGTCCTTATAGTCCATGGGATAGCATATTACCTCAGCAGTCTCGAAGACTTTTCAAATCACTTTCTTTATACCCTTACCTTTTATTAGCTTCCTTATCTAAAATAATGCATAATCATGTTTTATGATAATTTCCCTATACCTGTTGGCTTAGAACTCTACTTTTGCACTTCCAATTATGCCTCACTCATGCCCATACAAGGTAACGTTTGTTATGTTGCTTCCTCCCCAAAAACAGAAATTAAAAAATTTAGTTTAACCTTAGTCATTACAAAGATTTAATCAGGCCTAGTTAGCTAGAGCAAATAGCGTTGCTAATTCAATAGGACCTTAGTAAGTTTCTGCAACTTAATGATGAGCTCAGCTTTTGCTAATCTTTGTTGTGGCGGTGTGTGGAGAGGTGGAAAATATGACCAGGTGTCTGACTATAGCTTTTATGGCCTACAAGGGGCTCAAGCTTTCATTTAAAAAAAAAGAAAAGAAAATGAGATGGCAACTCACGTGGATGCAAAGAAAAAATTGACAGCAGGTCTCACATGTAACTTAAAGACTTGGAAAGCGGCAAATGAATCAAAGAACCCCCAGATTTACTATCTTTAAACCTCCATGTTTTTCATGCTGGTCACATGATTCTTTTGAGGCCTGACTCATCGTTTTTGAAAGCTCAGTTGACAACACTTGTGGAAGGTGTTGAAGAAGTGGAATATTTGCTTAGTATTAGGGTATGTATACACTGCTGTTAAGAGGTGTGATAGTAGCATGGGTAGAAGAATCCAAGCTTTCTTTAGTCCAACTAGTCAGGTAACAATAGAAGTAAATGTGCAGTGTTATAGGCTTCAGAGTGTGGGGTTGGCGACCACCCAGGATTCTGCGTACTTGGACACCTGAACCTCTCGCCGTCATGTTTATATTAGCTGAAAGGTTAAAGGTAGATCTATGTGTGTTTCCACATCCTGCTCCATGCTGGATTATGTCATGCTGAGGCCCTAAGCTATGTCCAGCCCAAGAGGGCCCATATGATAAAAATAACCCACAAAATCCACAAAAATGGATTTTCATGACATTTCAAGATGAATTATTGTTATTTCTGCACAAATTTATGAACTCAATCTGAATAATAACTGTGGAGCCATATCTATGTATATTTTTGTTATATGAGAATGAAAATGTCCAGTGTTTGTTTTTTTCTTATTTAGGGGCTTCCCATATTATGAGGCCCTAAACTGTAGCTTAAGTAGCTTAAGCCTAAATCTGGCACTGATTCCAGTCACACCTCATAACTGCAGTGGACACTCAGCTTGTAGCCCTGATGGGTTGTTTCTGTTAGAGCTGTCCCAACAGGACAATGGTATTAGAGGCCCTTTGTGGAAACATGGCATATGGCAGCAGACAGGGTTTTCTCCAGGTGTAGCTACACCACCTCAGTCCATAACACAGGGTAAGACAACAAGATCTCCCTTCTGTGTCTGCTCCAGGGGTTTGTCCATCATTGCTATGTTAGCAAGGGGATGCGTGTTGTTAGCCAATGTAGCTCTGCTACCAAATATTTTAGGATAAGCCAGACCACAGTCTCAGAGGGAGGGAGAAAGGACTTAAAGAAGGAGGCTTAGGAAATGGCAGTTTCTTTAACTGGTTGGAAGGCAGCATCACCTCAGTGCCAAGAAAGGGATCTGCCTGATGGCAGACCCATGTATCTGAGCTCACGCAAGACCCTGCTAAGACTTGAAATGTGTCTGTGGTTAGCATGAAGGTGTAAGAACTGAATAAAGGAGAAGAGTCAGAGGTAAAGGAGGAAAACAAGAACAAGACTCTGAGCAGCTTTCCCATTAGGGGAGCAGCTGTGCCACAGGTTCAGCATAAGCCCTGGCCTGTGCCAAGTAGAGTCCACACATACAGTGAGCTTGTCTCCATCACCTCCATGGTGAGCCCAATCCACTTGTTTCCAATCCACATGCACCAAGTCTTGGACATGAAGCAATGCAACTGCTTTATAGCAGGCCTGAGAGCATACCCAGTGCCACGCTCAGGTGGTCTGTCTCAGGCATCCTACTACTGCTGTGTGCTCAGGGCTGCTCTAAGGCAACAACATTGCCTCATGTCCAGGATTTGGCACAGGCAGGAACAAGTGTGGTGGAGAGTGCATCATACCAGCCATCCCAGGCACAGCGTAAAGGTGATGAAGGTGAGCCCCTTGAGTCTGTCCACCGTGTCTGGGTTCCTGTTGCTTAGCCCAGGTCCCTGATGGAGGAAGTAGCAGAGACAGGAGCTCCTGCAGCAGGGATGATGCCTCCCTAATGTGAGACAGGAGTACATCTAGTGGGTGGAAGCACCATGTAATGGGATGGACCATGACATCCTTTGGGTTTTCTTCTCTCAGGGCCCGAACCATGGGGTTAACACCGTATTTATCCTTCTGTGTCTCCTGGAGATGAGCACAGCCATCGCTGCCCTGGTGTATGGATGCAAGGCCATTAGAGGGGAAAGCTACACACGGATGGTAAGGATGGAGCCCCTTCCCTCAGACACACAGCTGCAGCCCCACCTGGCCCCAGAGCAATGGGGTTGAATGATGTAGTTGCACATGATAGCTGAGGACTAGGTTTATTTCCTTCCAGTCCTGTGTCCCATGTTCCCAGGACCATATACAGAGTGCTCCTCATCTACAACTTAATCCTAATACCACCAAAGTGAGTGGAAAGGCTCAATTTGACTGCAGGCTTGAATCTTTTTACAAACCCTGCAGAGAAAATCCTTTGCCATGAGCACGCTAACAATGTGGTTACCTACCAAACTGTAGACAAGCCCTCTCTGAAATTCGTGAGAGTTTACCATGGATTTCAGTGGGAGTGGGGTCAGATCTCTCTTTCCTTAGGACAAGAGGAAATTTCATTGCCTGGGTACAGTCAGCCCAGGAATTTATTTCTGTGCTGCCATACCAATGGATACAAACCCTGACCTGCAGGGAACTCCCCTCCATCCCACCTCTTACACACCTTTCCAGAGGTGTGAGGAAATATTTAGACAGAGCTGGAGAAAGGTGGAACAGTGAAAAAATCAAGTGGGAGCTTTCTGCGTGGTGTGGATATCAGAGGGTAAATTTTGCTCTCTGATTACTTCCCAGGTGCTGTGATGGGGACAAAGGCTGTCTCCACTCTCCCCACACTGACCACACGATGGAGCCACAGAAACTTGTATCTCAGCACCCTCTTCATTTTCCCAGGAAAGACTTTGGATAAGGCAGTCTCCAATACTGTTGCCTCCTGGAAGCCTTCCCTAACAAACTGGATACCCAAACACACATTTAATGGGGCCCCAAACTCTCTCTCAGTTACTGGAGGGGAAAGCAAGTCTGCCCTTAAACTGCTCCCTGATCTCTGCTATCTGTAAGCATGTGTGCAGGGCAAACTTCAAATCCCTACCTTCTCTCCAGATCTTCCTAATCATAGAATCATAGAAGTAGGGTCGGAAGGGACCTTGTACATCTTCAGGTCCAACCCCCTGCTTGGGCAGGAAGAAAACTGGGCTCAAATGACCCCAGCCAGGTAGGCATCAAGCCACTTCTTAAAGACCCCCGGGGCAGGAGCCAGCACCACTTCCCTTGGAAGTTGGTTCCAGATCCTAGCTGCCCTGACTGTGAAGTAGTTCCTATGGATGTCTAATCTAAACCTACTCTCCAACAACTTGTGGCCATTATTCCTTGTTATCCCAGGGGGCGCTAGGGGAAACAAGGTCTCCCCAAAACCCTTCTGGTCCCCCCTAGTGAGTTTGTAGACAGTCACCAGGTCCCCCCTCAGCCTTCTCTTGTGAAGGCTGAACAGGTTCAGGTCCCGTAGCCTCTCATTGTAGGGTCTGCCCTGCTGTCCCTGGATCATGCGTGTGGCCCTGCTATGGACCCTCTCAATGTTGTCCACATTCCTCTTGAAGTGGGGTGCCCAGAACTGGACACAGTACTCCAGCTGTGGCCTGACCAGTGTCGCGTAGAGGGGGAGGATTAGCTCCTTGGCCCTACTTGAGATGCAGCTGTGGATGCACGATAGGGTCCGGTTAGCCCTGCCAACCGTGACCTCGCATTGTCGGCCCATGTTCATCTTGGAATCAATGATGACTCCAAGATCCCTTTCTGCCTCCGTGCTCTCAAGAAGGGAGTTTCCCATCTTATAAGTGTGCTGCTGGTTACTACTGCCCAAGTGCAGCACCCTGCACTTGTCAGTATTGAAACGCATCCTGTTTTTGTTAGCCCACCCCTGCAACCTATCCAGGTCTTTCTGCAGTCT